CCAAGAGTGTCCGTATAAGGAGTGTTTCATTACCGCCGCCTATATACGTCCGTAGTTCAGACAGGTTACAAGCCTATGAGATGGCCTCAAATTTAGCCTCGCACACTCACTATGGAACCGGCTGCCGCCGGCGGTCTCTCCCAACTGTTGCGACCTGGGAACCTTCAACAAAAGTGCATGCTCATTCCTAAAAGGCTGGTAACGCATTTGTAAGCCCTCTGTTGTGCAGGTGTTCATGGGCGAGCGAGCGGGCGATTTATCTGGTGTTAAGTGACAACCGCTGCCCATGGACATTTGCAACACCCGTAGGATACAGATGCGTTTTCACATTTTAATTAAGCTGGCCCCGACTAGCTCGCTTCGCAGTCGAAACGCAGAAGTATAATGCCCTTTCTTCACGCAGGTATTCTGTGTGGTCGTGGTACTTACGTGGTACGTACGGACGGATCTGCCCATTAGTGCTACAGCGTAGACTGTTTCGTGGGCTGGGAATGTTCTATATAATGATTTCTTATAATGACGCGAATAGTGGATAAAAACGGTTAATTAAAACTATTTTAAGGACTTTAACACATTACAGCGTTCATGGTTACGGGACAGACTCACGCCCGGTTTCTGAAACACTGATCATCGATCTGATGATTAAGAAGATCGTTCTGATCAATTCAGAGAGTTAAACAATCCTTTTGGCAACTCAAATGACACCTTGAAATCCATTTGACAGCTGATTAGTTAATTTCTACGATGATCAGTGTTTCAGAAACTGGGCGTCAGTGTGTCAGAGAAGATAGAATCAGTCCGTCTCTTGACCATGAATGCCAAATATTTAACCGTAAATGTACAATATTTGGCTTGGTTATTAACACACAAATTCTATCATAAACATTAATTTAATAGAATGGGAAAGTAATAAATATTGTATTACATGACTCGTAAAAAAGTTAATGAGATCCTTCGCCAGGTGGCCGAAATTAAAAAAAGAAGCATAAAGTTTTTAAGCGCCACAGTGGCCTGTCCTCAGTTTATAGCCATCACAATTACGTTTTATTACTTTTAAATATCTTTAAAAAAAATTAACAAACTGTGCTGCCCTTTCAAAGCAGTTAACTACATTCACGTCACGCTTTTTGTGAGATGTTACATAGAATAAATTATTTCTTTATTTTGAGTAATATTAATAGTTTCGACACATTTTGATAATAAGGTGGCAACGCGTCTGCAACCCTACCCTACTTTACAACACAAATGTCCATGGGCGGTGGTTATAACTTAACATCAGATGAACCGCCAGGTCTCTTGCCACCAGTATGAGTGACTTTATATTCAAAACGAACCTTTCAAAATGTTGAATGCAAAATAATTAAAAAAAAATCCTCTTGGGAACATTTAAAGCGCTTCCAAAAGGAACTCTAACCGCAAGGAGCTTTCGCCTAAAAAAAAAGTTGGACATTTTAAGGTATCTCGCCAGAGATAACCGCTAAATAATGTAGCTACTTGCGTTAGCAATATCCATAAATGAATATTTATATCTAACGCTTGTTTTAGTTTTTAGTCGCATATCAAGGGTCTATAAAAGTTCACAGTTACAAATAGTATACGGTAGATACATTACATACCTAATAAATGTACATTTTCCGTTATTTTAATTAAATCACATAGTACCAGAAGCCTTATTTGAACATTGATTTTCATCATCTTAATTGTATTTTCCACCTAATACGATTAAGATCTTGAAATTAAACTAATTATAATTGTTGTCTGTTTATGAAAACTCGTCCAATTATAAATAAATTATACGTTCTAGTGGTCGTCTGCAACAACCCCTTCAACTAGAAATTTTTCGCACTATCAAGACAAGAGCACTCGCCCTTTGTATTCGAAGCGGCTTGGCCGGCCCTTGAGCTAGCCGGTCTGGGTCCTTCAGCGAATCTCCCATTCATATATATTTTTCTTTAATTGAATCGGCGCCTTCGGCCCATAGTGCCCCCGGCGGCGCGCCGCGTCGCGCCGCGCAAAAATAATTGAATTCGCTAAATTCACAAGCGCTTCATTTGAGATCCCGATAACTCGGAAGATATCGCCCGGGGCAGATTGGCAATTACAAAAAAAAAACCAACCGTCCCGAAAACGTCCCGAACCCCGGCCGAGTTATAAGGAGTTGCGGAGCGTGCTCGTACAGACTAGATTAGGTTACGTTGGACGAATCATCGTTAACGTTCCGAACATTTAAGCTTCATAAAGCTGATGAATAGCAATTGAATGAATGAATGAATGTACTTCATTGTGCACCAGAAATAAAAGAAACAAAAATCAAAAACTAATATAGAAGTGATGGGTACAATGGGCGGCCTTATTGGTAAAAAATTGTAAGGTGTTACAATTTCTTAATTTAACAATTGTTATCTTTCCAGACCTTTGAATTAATAAAGGTAACATAAGTAATGCACTCGCCATCTGTTATGAACATTATGTGATCATAGGTACTTAGGATTTCTATCATTAGTTGCATTTGTTGTCTTGTATCTTGCCCTATAAAATACTTTAGTGAAGTTGCAAAATTCATTCATTGAGTTTTTTATAAATTATTGTTGCAAAACGTAATATCGTTGTAACCTTCTATACCGGTCATAGTGCGACTATTGTAAATGATCGCAAGAGAGTAGCCTGGTGTGAACACAACATTCCACGGCGAATCCATCTCGCGGAGGGTTCTCCGAGCGAAAGTTTAAATGGACATTACGTAATTTTCGTGTAAGTTGTAAATTGTGTTTTTGTGTAATAAGATGACTTTTAAAGTTAATCCCAACTTTAATTGCCCGCCCTCCTGCTTTGCCATACTATGCAAATTAATTTTCCTTTTTTTCGGACTTATAATCCTGTTTGTGGGCAAACTTAAATTAAAATTTTGTCCGTGAGACATTAAATTGCGTTTTATACGACCTTCGCATTTAAGCATCGGTTTCGTTTAAACAAGATATCATATTACGATGGTTTGTTTTTTTTAGTAGGCTAATTAATTTTAATACTAATTACGAATGTTATTACTGTAACGCTTTCAACATATATGACAATTGAATTTTTGATATGAAGAGTAATAAGCAGTTTTATAAAATGTATTATTACCTAATCTAATTTATAAAACTGCTTACATCAACACACTTTTTTGTTGCAACTTGTTGCATATATGAATATTACTTATAATATAATGACTTATATTTAAATAGTATATAACTATAAGATTTCATCACATTTTTTTAATTATATATCCCGACATTTCGGAAACTTTACGCTTCGCAATAAAGGCAATGTTGCTATAATTATTAATGAAAAGGTTAATGAAAAATTAAATATATATCCGAAATAGATATATGTTGCAACTTTTGATAATATTTGTAATATTTGTAAAAATTCAAAAATGTACCTTTAATTGTTTATTAAAAACATTTATAGCCAGAAAAGCGATTCTTGTAAAAAAAAAACATTTGAAATTGTGTTCTTCTATTTGAATGAAGAGCTTTACACTTTGAATAAACGAATTATGCTAACGAAGTTGTTTGAGATTTTTATTATTTTTTCCCTCGACCTACATACGTGTTTGTGCTAAAAAAAAATATTCTCTTCCACTACAGAATTATTCAAGCCTGTTCATGTAATGAGTGTTATTTTAACTCTTCTTTTTTACATTTGCTATATATTTTTTTAGAATTTTCAACGCTAGAAGAACTAAACTAAGACTATTTAATATATATTTATATAAATTAATTGATCGTACAGATGCCGGTGTCCTTTTTTGTTTATTTGGAGCTGGCAAACGAACAGGCGATACCAGAGGATAATTTCTTGGTAATTAGACTATTCAACGGAGTCGTAACGCTTAAAACTATGAGTCTGTATATTATCCTTAAACATAAAGTTTACGATTACATCCAATACGAACAAAATACTCTCACTATGCAATTTGACACGTACAACTCTTATCGAGCTTATAAAGAATGCACAGACATTTGTCTAGACGACGTCGTTAAAAGCGGCTGAGAAGTTGAAGTACGGTCTGCAAATGTTGCCAGAGTGAATCTGTCATTCGACCATTGTTGTGAGCCTCCAGCACTAGAGATTAACTGGCGTTTACGCGTAATTGGAGGAGCATTTGTGAGCCCTCGGGTGTTGCAGGTGTTCATGGGCGGCGGTAATCACTTACCATCAAATTTTTGCAACTAAAATTTTTGCAATTGCACTGACTCTACAGATTTTATCTTGAACAAGTCCATTTTTTTATTAATAACAAAACCGACCTCGAATATCGAGATATGTTCATTTTGTAATTGATTTTCACGAGTTCCCTAAGTATTAGCGCAGGCCAAGATCCAATACCAATGAAATTAAAACGGGACCACATGGGAAGCACCATCGGCCTTCAAAAAAAAAAAAAAAAAGAATCATCAAAATCAGTTCACTCAGTCTAAAGTTCTGACAAACAAACAGAGTAACAAACATAAAACAATACAGTCGAATTGAGAACCTCCTCATTTTTTGAAGTCGGTCGAAAATTATTTGAAGTTCTTTTTCAAGAAAGCAAATGTGATTCCCACACCGAAACTCAACGAGCATCTTCGGGGTATAATATATCTTAATGTATGCGCAATATGTTGGGGACACAACAGCGAAATACAATTCCGAAAGGCTTCCCCGTATTATTCGTATGTTACTTTTCGGCTGACACGCGTATTTACGAATGCCTCCTTTTGTTCCAGGTACCGTGTTTTGCTTTTACTGCTGCATATTTTATGAGTTAAACGCGATGTTTGCTGCGAAGGTGAGTGTGATTATGTGTTCTCAAACGCTCCCGAAAAAGTTTCGAGGTGGGCGCTTGGAGTTTTATATCACGAAATATATCTCGTATATTGGGGAAGATATTCTTTTTACTTCTGCGATAAAAAAAAAAGTATACAAAGACTCGCTGGTAACAAATGTCACGTTTTAATGATAAATATCACTTTTTAATCTGGCCACACAACACTCTCAATCCATTCTACGTATCTCGACACTCTGGTGTATACACCCGGCGCCATCTTCCTTCCGCAGTCCCGTCCAAATGACGTCACCCCGACGAGCGTGTGCAATGGAAAGGTATTAACGCAGTCAACTCTGTCTATCATGACCTGCAGGGGACCCCCTGAGTCACCCTGGCACGTGTCCCTTCCGCCGTTCTCGTAATCACCGGCGCATAGCTGGTCCTCTGTTATTCCGCGGGCCAGGACCTTCCTCCTTATGAGGTATCTCATCGATCTGTTACAAACCGTACTGTCGACGAGGTCGACGTCGACTTTCATCAGGGTCTGACTGCCCGTCGCGACGCCCGATATGGTAGTGCCGAACCCGATGGCCGTCAGTTTCGAGAACTCATTGTCGTCGCCTAAATGCAAGCAAGCTATCCTAATGTCCCGGTTAAGCATAAACGCTGGCGCGGCCCTCATTAGAGCTATGTCGTGGTACTTTGACGGCGGTTCGTAGCCAGGGTGGGGTATTATTTCACCTATTTCCCTCTCCTGGGCCAGCTCGTCCACCTCGTCGAATTCGAACGTCGCCGTGCCGACTCTCAGTACGCTCGGCGACCCGTATGTGGGATCGCTAAGGCAATGCGCTGCTGTCAGCACCCACTCTTCGCTTATCAGACTCCCGCCGCATTTCCACGCCGGTGCGTCCTCTGCCTTCTTCCTGAAGCCTATAAGAACCATGTGCGGGTAGAGAAGCAGATCTATCGGCACCCTGACCTTGGTCGTCGGAAAAAGAACGTTGTGGCATTCCAGCATCGACTGTCCGTACGTCTTGCACGCTTCGAACGCCTTCTCGCCCACGCTTGAAGCCGTCCTCACTATCATTACCAGCACCGTGATATTTCGCAGTAAAAAACGAAGCATGGTCCGCTGACGTTGATCAGATTATTTATTCGCTGCCGCCTCGACGTCTCTCTTGAGCGAACGCGCACTTTATCACTGATTAGTTTACGCGCGCTAATAGTTTTTACCCTGACGCCCGTAAATCTAATCTCGCCGTTTCGAATTAACATACATTTTAGTTGCGAATTGAATTGTTTAACGATAACGTGATTGTTCGATTTGTCGCTTTACCTTTAATGGGACAGTTTGCTCACCATTCCTTCTGCTTGGCCCTATATTCTTCATCCTTAAACCCTTCACCGACTCTCGGCGATATTATTATATAATAAAGATGGAGACGATATCATAGCGATGTATTTAACACAGGATTTTAGAAAATTGTTAATGACTTTTAATACAATGCACATTAACATCACATTTTAAAGGAAAAATGCAGTATAAACTTTTACGCATCAACAAGTAGGTACTTCAGTAATATATATTATCTACATTGGAAGTAGGTGTAAGAGTATATATATCAATTCATTCCGGGCACATAAATGATTGCAGATAGAAAAAAATAACTTAAACGTGCACACATCGAGCGAAAAGTACAACGCCTGAAGAAGTTTCCGCGTTGATTCCTCAACAACGATAAATCCGAACTGCCAAACGGAAAATTTAATTTGTTGCGAACTTGCTACACTGCTTGCCGAAATCCAATACAACTCTTGGCAGCTCCGATGTTGTTTAGAAAATGTGCGTAATTAATGATCTTACAAAACGACCCTAATATATGGTGGGTGAGTCGATTTCAAGGAGCCTTAATGAGGCCCGGTACGGAGTTACAAGCTTCGACAGTTAACGATGTTTATACTTTCGCTGCGGAGAATCCTTTATTAATTATCTAGGATTTAATCAACCGTATCGTGTCTCGTTCTCTTATACACTCCGCTAAGTAATGGTTCAGGTTCAGAGAGGTCAATTTGTTTCAATGTTCATCTTAAAATATGTAGAAAATTTTATATCATCGTTTTATATTATCGTTGTAAAACGATATTCTAAATTGTTTGTATGCTGGAAAGGATATAACAATAGATGCGCCAAGCATTGCTTCAAATGCTAAATAACAATGTAGAAAGAAGGCGTTAAGATTTTCGTCGCTGTGGCTATCAGCCGTTTAGCTCAGTGGCTAGAGCGTCAGGCCGCGAATGCCGAAGACGTGGGTTCGATTCCCACAGATGCGACAATATTTTCGTACTTTTTCTACATGTTTTAATGTTCAATCTTAAGTGCAGAGATTAGCACTATAAAAAACTTTAAAATTGTGAAATGAAACTATTTTACGGACCATGAACGCTGGAAAGGTTTCGAAACGTCGGGAATTTAAAAATCTAATTAAACGTAAAAATCCATAAAATAATTTCATTTGACAATGTATGATTGCTCTCGCTCGTATTGAAGGAATGTTTTACAAAAATCGCAGTACTAGTTTTCTTCCAAACCTCGACCTTGCCGAGGGTATGATTGTACCAATGCGAGCGTCTTCTGTACAAAGTGTTCCGAGTGAAGTGGTACATACAAACATTGACGTTGCTCTCCATTGAAATGTTTGTCCCGAAATCGCAAGTAGGTCAAGTATAGAATCCACTCCGTATGTCGATCTTTCCTACTCCGAGTTTGGGAAATGTGCAAATGATGCGCCCCTAGAAGATAAACATGGCACCGTCTGCGGCAGCTTTGACTTCGGACCTCGCTATTCTTCGATACTATTTTGTTATATTGACAATAATTATTGCAAATCACTACATAGTATAAAACAAAGTCGTCCCGCTGCTTTGATGTATGCTTTGATTTTTTTTAACTACGCAACGGATCTTGATGCTGTTTTCTTTACTAGATAAAGTGATTCATAAACAAGGTTTATATGTATAATATATATCGCACCCATTGCAAAGTCGGGACGGTCGGGAAGTTATTAATAAATTTGATAGGAAATTTCACTTTGTATTTGAATATCAGAGCTCGCTCCTACGCAATTTTCGTTTGGGATGTCCTCCAGCATACCTGAGATTTATTTTTTCAAATTATATAATTTGTGATGGTCTCTCACGCAACATATTTTTGCGCTATCGAAGTTATTACGTAAATGGTCACTGTTTCGCGTTTCTGCCCGTTTTACAATGACAAGAATAATTGCCTATCACGAGTGCACACATATTGTAAATAAGACGTAGCTAAACAAGAATATTGACAAATGATGAAGTAGGTTAAATATTAACAATCTCCGTTGTAATAAAACCGGTTCTAGGAGCGAAAGGTAAGAGAAATGATTATTCCTTATCCTATGATATTCATTAAATCTTGTCATAAAGGCCTTAATAAAATAATCAATATCTGCACAATAAGTCATCAGACTCGATACAAACGCTGGTTACAAAGCTGCCTTAAAATGTCCAAGATTTTTTTTTTCCTGCCAGGAACAAACTTTTCCGCTGCGATATTTTCTTACCACGAAAAATTCGAACGCAATGTTTTGAATTGCGTCCGTAACGGTTAACATAGGCCTAAGTCCGAAGTTTGCCTGGCGTATTGGATCGTGAGATCGAATTTACATAATAATGTGTACTCCGGCGACAATACAACTTTATGCGTCTGAATCAACACTATTCGATAGGCGAAAGCTACACTGCGCCGTCCGTTATTTGTAACGGGGCCCCTTTTTTTGTTCGTGTAATAAAATCCAATTCAATTGGCCGTTTTGTATCCCATAGTCAGGCTGAAATTCTTCACTTTACGTTGTACGCGTGTTACGGGGGCCTTATTTCTTGAATACGTTAGAGCGTTTCTTTTTTCGTTTCCAATGGGACTCTTTCGGTATATTTTAAATAACTCTCGTAGCGTTTCAAATATTGTTGCTATTTTTTATTCATTTATTCCAAAAAAAATAGTTGGCAAACTTAATAAGCATTCTCTTCCAGTCAACTCTGGGATTAGTGAAAATTTCTCGTAAGCGCAGAACAAAAATACGCAAAATGAATTGCGTTTTAAATATTAATACACTCATAACTATTAATAAGCGGGCGAAACGGGAAATGATGGATATTAAAGCGGCGGACGTCGGCAGGTCGAATCGAAATCGTCAAATTTGATAGAGACAATGGTGGGCCGGTCGAGGCCGTCGACGAATCTAATAACGAGGGGGGTCCAATACGGTCGGTGATTGTTGCCGCGCTGATTTAATTGGTGATTGTTGCCGGATAATTGGTTGCGGCGACAACTGGCCATTGTTCGGCGATGTACGGAACCGATCGTTCCAGTCCTTGCGCTCTGCGAACGTGGCGTCGGTACATCGGGCCGCCTTAATAATTCATCAACCGCGCTAATGACGTATCTTGACGGTGGTGATTTATCGAAAGGGGCCCCGGCGGCAATTGTTAATTGGAAATCTTCACGCGAAGGTACTAGGTTATTAGTATCTATTAAAAGCCTCAGGATCGAATAGAATCCTTCGCGTGTGAATAGGCGCAATGTTCTCTTTAGAATTCAATGTTTCATTTTATATCAGTTTCATCTTTAAGTTAATCGTGTTGAGTGAAACGTGAGAATTCAAAAAGTGATTTAAAAACTTTATCCATATAAAAACGTTGAATGCTCGTATAAGTTACGATGCTTTACGAGTATAACAACTTCTGTCAGTTTGCAATTGTCTTTGATGTGTCCCGTCACTCGTTTCAACTTTATTTATATTTGTTTTTCAATGACCATGTTGCCATAGCGATTGAAATTTCAGTGAACACATGTTTCGGCCAAGAAAAGATTGGCGATCTAATTCTATTTCGAGTACCGTGCTACATTCTAACGACTTTGTACGATGCATGGAATTAAAGATATACGACGTTTTGACGTTACGAATCACTACAACAGTCTAGTCGTTGCAAGCACTACGGGAATTTGTCACAGGAGGGTGTCATTTGTACGTGCGAACCGGTGCAGCTGTTAAATTACCGATTCCTTTGTACGGGCTATACTTTAAGCTGTCTACAAATTAATACCCGGTTACGCCGGCGTCCTCACAGTCCCGCACGCGACTGTGGATTGACTCCTTTGTGCCGGGGAAGGGGAGGCCGGTGTCCTGATTGTCGTTTGGTCTCCACACGCGGATACCCTCCGTTCCCGGGAATCGCATATTTCATAATGAATAGCTTGCCGCTCGCAATTGCTGGCTATCGGTATTCGACGTGGTTATTTTCCAACGCTTCTTTTATTTAGAAATGCACGTCTGTTGTCTTTGTTCGATAATTTGTGTCTAATCAGCGGATATCTTGTTGTCTAATAGCAAACTGAAATGCAAATAGACAAATACTACCAAGGAATAACTTTCTTCTTCTATTCCATTTATATATTGCTTCTGTTTAATTTTAATTTGTCATCGTTAATATTTGAGAATTATATCCTTGATTCCATTGAATTTATAGTAATTTTTAAGTAATGTACTTAAAGAAATCACAGGCTGTAATTTTCACAGATTCCCTCTTTCTTTGATTACAAAACACTTGTTCCGTTTTTATCGCCATAATAAATAATTTCTATCCTTTCTCATTATTTTATTAATTATCTTTTGGACACTTCTGTTGTTCGAATAGGTTGTTATTTAAATTCATGATCCCCAATTTCGGTCGGCGTTATAAAGCGTGGGCGGATTTGGCCTTTGTTTGTTCGCGAGGGTTGTGCATCTGTTCCGTCACGGTGGACGCTGGAGCGTTCCGCAGGGACCCTCCCTGGCGTCGTAAATGTTTAAAAAAACCAAATGAGTGCACTGCGGTCCTTTAAGTGTATTTTTAAATCCTTTTCTGATATGTGGTTGTGGGGTTCACTCAGCTATTTGAACAGCCATCTACACTCTGGGTCGATTTTTTAGTTCTAGTAATTAGCCTTCAAAGCTATTTAGTGAGGGTTTTTGTAGGTGATTAATGTACAGGCATTTCAGTAACAGGACACGTTATATCTGTGCACCTACCTCGCTTTGTCTATACCACCCTAAGGTTGACTGGTAGAAAATGCATTAAGTCCGCCTTTGTACTTGTATGCATAAAGTCTAAATAAATTAAAAAATGAATATACTCAGTCGCGTCGCGTCGTTAGGAGTCTAAGAAGCACACGGTTATGAGTATAAAGTGACACTTCGATATAATTTCACTAAATTGTATTAAGAATTATTTTTGTTCCATTAAAATAAGCGAAGACCTTAACTAACGACCAATATTAGTTTACCTTCTCGACCCGTAGACCGTTGAAATACAAGAAATCTTTCTGGAACGTCACGTTTACCCGTTCACACTTAAGCCGCGAGTGCGAAAGTAACCCGACTATAAAAATGAACGGTAGCGATCATTCCGGGGGGCGCGTGGAACGGAATCGGCGAAGTGGCAACCCTCATCCCGCAAGGGCCGTATAAACGCCCAAAGTATCACCGGGATTCCCCGCGCGGCCCTCCCACTTTTTCCCGTTTACGACGTATCACGGCTTATGACTGTAACGTTTCGGCCTTGTTTCGCGAATCGTAAGAATTGCTCTTCCCTCCACTCTGCGTGTGTTTTTTTACGTCCGCTCTTTATTCTTGCTCCGGTGAAATTTGTCTTGGAATTTTCGCCGCGCCTAACGAGGACGCTATCTCGATAATACAATCTGGAATGTTTGTCTGTGTCTGTCTATCCCATTTTCTCGTTTCAATGGCTTAGCGGATTTTGGTATAATTCTAAATGGAGATTAGCTGTACCTACTGTAGCATAGAAAAGTGATCTGTTAAACTGGATTGTTATCTGGTTTTATATGGCAATAAATAAAGCTGAAGTTATAGGTGAAAGCAAAAAGAATTCAAGTCAATGAAGTATGTTTAAAGAGAAAAATGCATTCAGTTTGTTTGCCAATAGCCCGTTCGATGGAAAATGAATCGTTGGATTCATTAGTGTTCGTACGAAAGCCGATAAACCCCTTGCATTGTCGGATTTATTTAACCGTTATTGAATGGGGATCGTGTTACAATGGAATTCGACGGTCCCTTAGTGACGAATATCGGTGGAGTTTCGTGTTGTGTCCGATAGATGGCGTTTGGCGCAGGGAGATTTGTACTTGAAAATATATTAGCAATTTAGAGGTATGCGAGCCGTTTGGCAAGGTTGAGTAGTATATAAGTGCAGTTTGAAATATTTAAGCTCAATTTAAACTACTATCAGTTCAAATTGAAACATCATGTACTTGTATAAACTATGAATTTTTTTTTAATCAAAAAATGTCAATCTCTTTAAAGTAAAGTAAAGTTAAAATATAGTAAAGTAAAGCTTATACATGTCCAATATGTATAGGCATGGAACATTTTTTTTGTTATATTATTTATGCACCATGCGGCTTCACTGCGGATGGATGCGGTGGACTTCACATATCTTCGAAATACTTTTTTTGTTATTATTTCGAAAATATGCAAGTTTCCTGACGATGTTCTCCTTCACCGCTGAGCACGTTTCAGCACTCAAAATTGTCAATTTGGTGGTGCTGGTATCGGGGATCGAACTCAGGTTGCTCGAGTATATTAAATTAAAGGCGAGCGCCCGGACACTAAACTATCAAGGCTCCATACCTAGTAACCTTCCATTATTATTGAAAGAAAGCTTTTTTAAGGTTTAAGCTCGCCTTTGTACATACTTTTTAAAATTTTCCATATTTTATTTTGTTTTATGCTGTGTACAATAAAAGATAGAGTAAATAATTTTTATTTATTTATTTTATAATATATGTACAATAAAAATATAAAAGAAATGTAATAACATGAAGCGTATTTCTTAAGAAATTTCTTGCAGCAGACCTGTGAATGCTAGAAGAAACTGCTGAAACGGAAGGACTGCTAAAGCAATAAAGTTGTTTTCTTTTCGTTTGTTCTAGAAATAGCGTTTAATATACACAGATAATGGAGCGGTGCTAATACTATTTTTATTCATCCAATCCATTTGCTTCAGTCTGTTTACACATTTTGTTTGTACATAATAACGTTGCCATGGACCCGAGTCTTTATTATTCAGTCATTTGCGAAACTAGCATGTCCCGCGGCCTCGGCGGCTAATTCGATTCGCTTCGGGGACTCCCCCTGCCGCGCACATCTGGCGAACGGAGTTTTATATCGGGCGAACAATAGTGGCGCGAGGCGGCCTCCCGCGCACACGTCCTAATGAAAAGCAAACAGCGGCGCAACGCGGGGAACGCCGGGCATTTCTGAGTAAACAGCGGCTGCCGCGTTCAGATTAGCTGGGACCTTCTGCGGGGAGCTTCTGTTGACCTTACCCGTAGGGGAGGACCGGGAGCAGCGTGGAAGATTGCGCTGCGGCCCGCCGCGCTCGTGTGTACCCGTTGGTGGCGTTGGTAAAGGATAGGCCGAAAGTGCAAATAGACATCGGCACGTCCGCAGCGCACCGCGAACTCGATGCGATCCGCAAGTCGATTTATTTAATACTAGCTGCTGCCCGCGACTACGTCTGCGTAGAATAGGCTGAAAGCGTAACATACAGACAGAAAGACATATATTCATAAAGATATGTATATAAATTATAGCCTATGTTTTATTCTGATGTATAAGCTATATTATTGTAAAGCTTCAATAAAATCCAATCAGTACTATTTGCGTGAAAGAGTAACAAACATCCATCCATACATGCAAACTTTCGCGTTTATAATATTAGTAAGGATTTGTTGCATCACTTTTGAAATCCAAGAACACTAAAAGCGGATGGATGTATTAAGGAATTCTCTAACAGTCAAGCTATGCTGATAAGTTGGTTAGTTTGCAATGATTTTGCTGATTTATAAATTATTCTACGGGCATAGGTTGGTAAAGATACCGCGTTTAAAAATTTAAAAAGGATTCCCGGGTGACTATTGCCGTGTCCTCCGATAACTAGTTTAACCCCAATACCCCGCATTGGTATTTCGTATCGGGACTTTAACTTTATGTATCAGATAAAGTCGTCTCAAGCCAATGCCATCTAAATTAGAGGCTAGTTATATTTTCCTTTAAGAATCGTTTTCGTATTCTTGACATGTTTATGTTAAATAAACAAACTCCTAGAGCTGAGACATATTATTATGTAAAAAGTCTGCAAGCGTGAAAGTGCTGCATCTGAATTTGAGTGACGCTCATGTACATCTTATAAAAATACATTGCCAACATTAAAAAAGAGGTAGCCGGAGCCCAATTTTCAATAGGTTATCAACGCATCTGTAACCGTCGGGTGTGGCAGATGTCCATGGGCGGCGGTATTCACTTAACATCAGGTGAACCGTCTGCTCGTTTGACAACTTCTCGCATAAAAAAAAATAAAAAAAATCTGCCCCGGTTATCTGACTCAACACTTACATACTTCAACGACTTGTCAACTTCACGCCTGTCTTCTATGAAGCTGTGGTACTTCGCCCGACGATCAAACCCATTTGTGCAACAGTTATATTTCTTAGCTGCTGCCGCTAGGCGCGACCGGCTAGCTACCTCGAAGCTGTGTCGTTGGAACTATAAATTATTGTTATTGTGTATCACAAGCTTATATCGCCCTAAGGTTATAAGCCGAATTGCGATCATCTTTTCGTGTAAAACCTTTCCAAAATATCGGCTATATAACGTTAGAATGTTCCGGTATAAGATCCCTGTATACTGGAGTAACACTTTAAAGCGAAATTAAGCACGTCTTTCAAAACTGTCAAGATGTTGACAATCAAGGCTACAAATTCAATGTCATTCATATCATTCAAAGACAATGTTGAAAATCATACCAGTACAAATCCCCCCGCTTCATAACTTCGTCGTGTCTAAGATAATCGCCTAAAATGAACATCTAACTGAGCAGTAATAACCTGCGTTATTATTTAATTAAATTTTTTTGAACACTGCGTCTCCATAGATATTTTATATCTACGCCTTATAAACAAACAGCTCTATAGAGCTAGTAAAAAATGGCGGTAGTTTGTTGTTTGAAATCTTTACAAGTCGTTAATTCATTAGTTTCTACTGAGTAATATATTTTATTGGAATAGTTCAATTGCATTTGCAAACTTACGAAATAAGGAAATTATTAATATTAATTAAAACTAATGCCTTGTCAACTACACGCAAAGCCTTGAATTAGAATTTAGCCAGCAATACATTGATTAATTTACGAAGTTCATTTTTATACTTACAAGTTGCTTGCCGCTTGATAAATAAAAAAAATATTAATATTCCTTGTTTATGGAGTATTTTCTCTTAGCGAATATGGCGCAATATTCTTAAATTAAAATAAGCTATCTTGTTATTATTTGTGATTATATCAATTTTCCCTACTAATACACTTAGTGTATACGAGTAGTTAATCCAAACCAAAATCAACCTTGGCGTGTGTCAATTTTGCTTTCATGGACACATTCCTAAACCGCTGCGTAGTAAGCAGCAGATAACAGTTTTATTGCTACCGAGCCGATATGATTTACTTTATAATACCGAGATTTTACCTTGATCGCTCCAGCACAACAAGCTTATATATTGTTCGGGTGTTGTGGTTCATTCTATACAGAAAATCGTTTACGTCATAAGTAATCAATTTCTTATCAATATATAAACTAACCACGAACGCACCCAAAGTCATTTTCTACACGATCTAGATCCGATGTAATAAAATTGCCAACTGCCGACCGCAGCATACCAAGCACTGCATAGGCGATATGCCTCTGACAATCACAGATTAACCGCAGCTCCATCGGAAAATTTATTATTCAAGCTCTTATATCTATCTAGTTACTGACTTGTCTGTCCTGCGCTCGGAGTGTCCATTGTCGTACTACGTGATGACGATATCGTTCGACCCTTGGGCTAGTGGTCTGATCGTTGATTCGTTGATCTCTTGGACATTACACCATGACTGCTTTAGTGAATATATTCTTTCCGTCTTAGCTACCTTTAGGATGGTCTAAATCCACCACTGGTTCACAAATTTAGACATCTAACCTCGTCGATAAACATTGATTTTTAATTAATTTTCCAATTATATGACACAGTAACATTCGCAGCAGCCAAAACACGTGCAAGCGTAGAGCAATAATCTTCCCGTCTTAGTATTTTTTGGGTATACTTTAACATATTTTATGAAAGAAAGTGGTAAACGAGCTGGCGCCGCCCATTGACACCAATCACACCTGTAGGGTTGCGGGTGCGTTGCCTACCTTTAGGAGGGTGGGCCCCGGCTACCTCACTCATCATAAGGGTAGGCAAAAGTATGAACACTTCTGTTATATGTATACTTCCCTGGATGGCCTATTTGTGCAACAGAATCTAATGCATAACTCTACCAAAGTAGCGACGAATTAATTGGCCCTTCAATTAGTATCGCGTTAATTGCTCTCCTAAAGTTGCGTTAGCTCAATTGATCTCACATCGCCAGTTGGTGTGAATCGATGCCTCTGTGTTTACACTGCTCATTCGTCGGCCCTCAATCTAGCATCGGCTCTATGCTGATTCATGACCCGAGAACAATTCCTCTTTTGTAAGCGCTTAGGTTTCGACAACACAGACGTCAAATATAAAGTGGTGCACACAACACCTTACCAGGAACGATTTGTTATTGTGTATCATAAGATAGCGCGCGATGGATACACTTTCTCGGTATTTCGTCTCAAACGTTATCACTCAAGTTTGTTTGTTCATTATTTATTTAGTAAAAAAATACACACACCTATCAAATTTAATGGCTGGCTTTGTTTGTGTGAAGAGTTGTCAAGCGAGTAGGCGGCTATGGTGTTAAGCGATTACCGCTACAAGTACATCATAACACCCGAGGGCTTGCAGATGCGTTTAAAGCCTTTAAAAAAAGTCAGTCCCGGTTACCCCACTCACCAGACGAAGCGTGTAAGTACTAAGCTTCCGTTTCATCCACACCACCACGATGTCCAGCGTTCCACAACAGTGCGATTTCCAAGGCATTTCCTGCTTCGCACAACCACTCCGTAGAACCAGCTACCGCCGGCCTTCTTACCGAACCGTTACGGCCTGGGAACCTTCAAGAAGAGAGCATACTCTTTCCTTAAAGGCCGGCAACGTATTTGCGAGCCCTCGGGTGTTGCAGGTGTTCATGGGCGGTGGTAATCACTCGTTTGCTCCTTTTCTCCATATAAAAAAATTCTGTTGGTCTTCTGTGAGACCTTGGTACTCCTCCGGACGAACTTCCTATAGCAGAAGGTCTTTGCGTAGTCCTACCACGGCAGACCAGTGCACAGAATTGCAACATCGCCAAAAACTCTATACTAAACTAAAAGTCGATTCATTTTTAGTTTCAGTCAATAGCCTATCATATTTAATTGTATATGTTTTAAATATACGATAGAAAATACTTGTAGCTTAAATCTATTAAGCACGATAGTATTTACTAACAAAAGAGAGCCAATTACAAGTCTTCAATTTAACGTACAAAACAGTATGTAAATTCTTGTAAGGAAATTCTTCGAATTTAACGAAGTACATGTTTATGAGCTAAAGAAAAATTACTTGAATAGGTTTCGCCTCAAGTAAAAAGGAGATTTATCCTCAAACATCTCCGAGCCGAAGAAACGTTGTTGTACTTCTTTATAACTTAAAATATAAAGTTTAGTGAGGACAGGTCCCTTAGTGTTTTCACCTTAAGTGAGAGAGCTTATAGTAACATTACTATATGCTCTCTCCACTTTGGTCAGTGATCGGCAGAAGTGAATATAAAAACCGGCCAAGTGCCGTTCGGACTCGCGCACGAAAGATTCCGTATCATTATCTATAAAAACGGCAAAAAAACCATGTCTGTCGTATGGGAGCCCCTTTGAATATTTTTTTATTTTATTCTGTTTTTTAGTATTTGTTGTTATAGCGGCAATAGAAATACATCATCTGTGAAAATTTCAACTGTCTGACATGGTGGTTCATGAGATACAGAATGGTGATCGACGGAGAGACAGACAGCGGAGTCTTAGTAATAGGTTCCCGTTTTAACTTTTGGGCACGGAATCCTAAAAAGCAAATGAACACTCAACTTCGCAATTGAGTGTATTGCCCCTTATTGTCAGAAGATTACGAGAGATTATTGCGTGACATAATTACGTAAATTCCCCAAACGTCCCTCATAGTTTCGATCCGGTAAGTCGTGCACGCTAAAGAATTCCAATCACAGGTTACGCGCTCCGATAGACAAAGCAAATGGCTCCTATGCGTCCTGCGCATCTCGGCCATGTATGTACGGAATACAATGCGGCATCTGTGCGCATAGAAGGAACATTCTGTGAGGCCTACACGAAAGTGTATATCAAAAACCCACGCTATATATTTTTTTTTCTGTGAGAATGTGGCAAGCGAGCTGGCGGTTCGCCTTATGCTAAGTGATAACCGCCGCCCATGGACATTTGCAACTCCCGTAGGGTTGCAGATTCGTTTTCACCTTTTAATAAAGTGGGGCCCCGGCTACCTCACTCACCAGACGAACCGCAGAAGTATTACACTTCCACTTCACGCCAGTCTTCGGTGAGGTCTTGGTACTTACCCGGACGGACCTGCCCAATTGTGCAACAAAGAAAACTGTTGCGTGGCTCTACCACAGTAGCGCTCGGCGAGTTTCATAAAATGGTTAACTTATTCATGATGTAAGTACGAGAAACCTTGTTTCTTACCAGATTCCACGAATCAATTAACGAGAATTGTGTTTTATTGAGTAAATTTGCGAGTATCAAATATCGAGTTATGAATCGCTATTTTTCTCGACTAAATTGACTTAAATGTGACAAAAATTTTAAAGCGGTACTAGCAGACGGACAACAAACTCATCCCATAAGGGTACAGTTGTTGTCGATTGGGGTACCTGACCGGACAAGGGACTTAATAAGAGCTTATTTTTTATTTATTTTATTTTATTTTATTTTAATTTTTATGTAATTTAAATAATATTTTAAATATTAATTCAGCTTTGTATGTTAATATCGTATACTTTATCTGACACTTTACAATTATAATATTAAGCTTTCTGCTCGTAACGTGTTTCACACAGATTTAAATGAGAATAATATTAGTTACATTAAGCAGAAGAGTACAAAGGCAGCCTTTGACTTTTTCTTTTAGATAAGAGCACTTCTTACGATTAATTAATCAAAGTTTAACGGAATACAAAGCTCAAATATTCCAACAAGAGAAAGTGCTTTGAGAAATTAAACATCTGACCTTGTCCGAGGATTGGAATAATTAATTTTTCTAAGAAATGCACCATAATTAACCTAATAGCAAAGGATTCTTTGTAAGGTAAGTGTTTGAGTGAAATTTACAGTAACAAAGCTTTATTCAAACTTCGTTGGACTTTAGAAGATCAGGTAATTTTACTTAAAATTAGATTTTTATTCCAATATAAATTTCAATAAGATTCGTTTAGTGGCCTTTTTAAAAAGAATTAATAAATTCTTCCCTTGTACTTCCATTAAGTCGAGTTTTAATCGTAGTCTCGTACTTATTATAAATACTTATAGTTTCTATTACCTTTGATCGAATCTTCACAAATGATTTGTAATAATTTACATTGATACTGATTGACCAGTTGACAATATTGAAATGGAATATTAAACATAATAAAAATAATGTACACGCCTTCAACTAGTTACATGGTTCCCTATTTTGGTTCCCTATTTTGATTATGGTTATGGTTCAACATTATTATGGTTCCCTGTTTTGATGTTTCAAGCGTCTCTTGAAAGAGAACCCTGTTTAGGGTTAAGTTTAATACAAGTTTGTGTCATTTTTTCCAATTATTTGTACGATAAATAAAACAAACAAACAAACGTATTAATTACGTAACTTTTAGATTAATCAGTTGTTAAGATTAAGGAGAATAGAAGTAATGCACCGTGGAAGTACCATGACCTCACAGAAGACCGGCGTGAAGTGTGTTTTGTCGTTTCGTCTGGTGAGTGAGGCAGCAGGGGCACACTTTGTTTGAAAGGTGGCAACGCATCTGCGACCCTACGGGTGTTGCAGACGTCCATGGGCGGCGGTTATCACTTAACATCAGGTGAACCGCCAGCTCGCTTGCCACCTTCTCACATAAAAAAGCGACCGTCGCACTACACACAGAACGTTGCCAGCTGCAACCTCGTGTAGCACACGTCACCGATGCACCTGTTGGGCCGGCGGTATGCGAAAGCGGTCGCGCTGGCCGTATGTCATGTGCTTAATCGAGAAGGCCCGTTAAGGGGTAGTGATTTTTTTTTCCGTATGAAACGTTGGCAAACGTACAGACGGTTGAGTCTTTATCAATCGATAACCGCCGCTCTAAGACATCTAAGACACCTGAGGTGATGCAAATGCATTACCAACTTTTAAAACAGCGCGCCCCAGTATTCAAGCAGCCCCACTCAGCAGATTAAATGCTCAATGTAAGTTCCCGTTCGACTTGTGTGTGTTTGTGTGTGCAGCTTTTTTAATTAAAATTCTGTAATTTGTATAGTTTATTTTAATAATTGATATAATAACATTATATAATCATGCATACAGGTGTGTTGAGATTATTTTAGTCGATACGAGAAATACGTGTAGTAATAAAGTAACTAAAATATTAATAATAATCTATAATATAAAGTAAATAATAAAAATTAGTGTATAATTTATAATTTAAAAATTTTTTATAGTCAATAAAACCAGTATTACATAGTCAGTAGTAGTAGACAATAAGTCCCACCTCACCTGTCTGCTGGACCGGTCTCAT